CCACGGCAGACCTGCCAGTCCAGGGGCAGAGCGGAAAGCAGGACTGGCAGTGCCCATGCTACTGGCTATCAGAAACAGTTTGCAGGAAAGGGATGTGCAGTTTGGGGCAGAACTGCCCCATGGTACCAAGGAGAAAGGCATGGGGGGTATATTTTTAGTGAGCTCTTAGAACAGACTGAATTTCAAAACGAAAAAAAAAAAGAGAAAAACAGAGGAGGGCATGAAGAAACAAAAATCAAAGGCCAAAGGAAAACCTGAGAAATATTTTCCTTCAACAACTGGGGTGAGCAAAGGACGGATTTACGGCACGAGCAATCTATGCCTGCCAGCACCATGGGACAGAGCCCTGGCCACATTTCCAGCCCCTCCTTACCTACCACCCCTGCAGGAGCTGAAACGAGCTCCAGGCTCAAAGAGCTCTGTACCTACAGCTGCGTGCTCTTTAAAAAGGCATTTTCTTAGTTTGAGCTTGGTTTGGATTCTGTGCATCTCCAGGTACAAATGTTCTTTGAGCCAATTCAGATAGTTTCAGGTCCCACTCTGCCAGCAGCCAGAGCTGAGATCTGACCCCACCACAGCACTGGACCCACTTGCTACAGCGAATCCCACATCAAACACCCACATGTACTGAACAAAGCAGGCACCAGTCTGTGCCCCTCAGGGGGCTGTGCACACTCAGAGCCGGCTGTACCGGCCACAAGGTAATCACAGCGTGTGTGTAACGACACCTTTGCCGTGCCAGCAGGAAGTTGTGTCACCCACCAAGGCTGCAGCCAGCAGGAGAGGTGACACTCACTGCATGGGTGCTGAGGCTTTTCTGCCAAACTGAACCTGTGTCAGCCTCTACAATGCCACCAAAGGCAGCCCAGAGTGGGCAGCGCTGCCCTGCCACCTCCATAGGACAAACCTTGTCCTGGGCAGCACTTCCCTGCCACCTCCACAGGACAAACCTTGTCCTGGGCAGCATGTTTCGTGGGGAGTACCTGTGGACAAGAAGCACTCCGGAGAGTTGCAGCATGGGCACCGAGTGTCTG